ACAAGGGCAAGGACCAGGGCAAGGACCAGGGCAAGAAGGGCTCTCTTCTGGATGTGCAGACGAGGTTCCATTTGCTGGTGGGGGATGTCAGTTCGTCCGAGGAGTCGTGAGCTCTGGCCCTGGCCGCAGAAAAATCGCGATGCCCAGGGGTAATGCTAGATTCAAGGTTTCAGACTACCACTAGTACTAGTACTAGTACAAGTACTAGTGCTACTAGTACTAGTACCAGTAGTAGTTCTACTAGTGCTGGTGCTACTTGTGCTACTTGTGCTAATACTGCTACTGCTAGTACTACGACGACGACGACGACGACGACGACTACTACTACTACTACTACAGCATCACATCACAGCAGCCTACCAGGCAGCAGCAGCAGCAGAGAGGGATGCACAGCAACACTAGCAGTAGCATCGAGTCTCGCGAGGGGTGAGTTTCACGCGTCGAGTGTGCATCGGGATTCGGGTGGTAGTAGATTAGTTTCATTGACATATCCTAGGCATAGGCCGGGCTATTTGTGAGCATATGTGAGTAGACTTTTTTTGAGGGGTGAAGTGCACACTCGACGGGCAGGTGGTAGGTTGGATTGGGAAACTTGTCTGTGTGCGGCTGCCTTGGGGTTTGTTTATGGTTTCCCGATATTTCCCGAACTTCTCGAACCTCCCTAAGGCTTCAGGGCACCCGAACCCATTCGGCCCCACGGTAGGAGTGCCCATCAAGGTCCCTGTTAAGCTACATGATTTACGGTTGGTAGTGCTTGGGCTTCGGGAGGAAGGGGTGGCCGCTTAGGCTAGGTCTAGAGACATGTCCTTTGCCTTTTCGGATAGGATAGGGACCTATGATAGGGGCTAGGCGCTTTCTCGGGCTAAGGATTGGCTTCGTATTCCGGGGCTCGCTTTCTGACGACTGTGCTGAATCTGCCGGGTGCTTCGAGCGCATCAGAATCCCCTTGTTCTTCAGGCTTCCACATCTCGCGATGGCTGCGCTGCTGATCCTGGCGTTGCCGCAGCCGCCGTCCGACCCTTATGGCCACACAAGGGCTTTCCAAATCTCCAGATGATAAAGCGACACGCAGGGTTGACCTTTGCCTTTGCCGCCTTTGCCATTCTTTATATTTCCCTTGGTCCTTTTGGACTTCAAATCTTGTGCACTGCATATTGCGTGCAATTCATGTTTTCGCGGCCTAGGCCTGGACCTTCATTGACCTCGCCTCGTTGGGTTCCTCGCTGCTGCGGCCTCTGTGTGAATGCAAGTGCCATGCAGCGTTGTAGTGGTTTCCCAATTCTTATAAACCCCCCAAACCCAGGCACAGGCAGTTTCATGGAATATGACAATTAGATTGTGTCCACCTTACGTCATGCTTCATGGCTCACTAGGCCTCCGCTGGCGAGACGATTTCTTTCACGTGTTCCACGACAAGTTCATTACAGTCCGGCACCCATGGTTCAGTCAGCCTTCTGGTTGTTTCAGGGTTTTGGGTTGCAGGGCTTTGGGTTTAGTCGGCCTAGTGGCTTAGTGATTGGATTTGAGGACCTTGTTCAATCAACCGATTGAATTCAGGGTTTTGGAGACCGTCGAGACCCCTTGTAAGGTTCCTTTAGGCTTTCCATTCCGACCTTTTTGATATAAGCGGTGTAGGGTTGCAGGGTGTTGGTATAGAGACGTTTCAAGAGGGGTTTTAGGCTCAGGCGGTTTAGGCGGTTTAGGTATGCATTTTCGAACTTTAGGTTTGCGTGTCCATCAGATTTGCACTGCATGTCGGATGCCTGTCTCAAGATCAGCACGTGCGGGCGCAAGGGGCTCATTGGTCAGGTGGCATTCAGGGCTCATCCAGGGCTCATCGTAGCTCATAG